GATGTGACACCATGCAAATGTATTTGACAAAAGGAATTGTAGAAGCTCTATTGATCTTTGTATATGTGAATTCCTGTAATAATTTTGATTGGATCAACATGAAAAGGGGAAAAATAGTGTAGTAATGCTTATGTTTGTGAAGCATGAAGTCATTTGTAACTGAGCCTGTCAAATCAAGGTCACTGTATTTAATAAGCAACTACTGAAATGCTTTTATTAATTAAACGATCCTGGATATTCTCATTGACAACATTTCAGTAAATCTTTCTAACTTGGTCTCAAAGAGAAGACAGATTAGCAAATTGAACCACACGGCTGAGATTTGTCCTCAGATTTGGGAGTAATCCTGATACGCCATTTTTTGCTAGTGATTTTTTTTACTGCTAGAACTAGCTATTAGCAGCTCAGAGAAAATTTGGCTCCCTATTGTGTAAGCTACACAAATAGCACTGCTATTACCTAACTGAGCCGCGGCTCATTGGCTGCCTGCTCTGATCATACAAAGATTTTCCGGCCGGTTCCATCAATCAGCTGATCGAGTGATGCCGACCGAAATGGTGCCAACAGCTGCAAACACTGAATTTCGGCCAGTTCCTCAAAAATCAGCCGCAATTCGCACAATGTATGGACACCCTAAGGGTTCACACCTAGGTGGCATCATTTTTGCACATGGAAACTTGCATTTTGGCAGCTTAAGAAACATTGCCGGCAATGGACAAACGCACAAGAAAAATGTGCAAAATGCTTCTGCCGTGCATTTCCATTAAAGTCTATGGGCCAAAAATGCAATATTAACTTTACAAAAGGTCCTGCACCAAATGAAAAAAAAAATTAAAAAATGTGCCAGTTTCAGTAGCTTTACCGATACCTGACAACTCAGATAGATCTTAATAGTTCGACTTTATTAAATCTGGAGCAGCCATACTGACAGATTCTTAAAGATCTACTGCCACTTTACTCTGATCTGGTGTACAGGGAAACATCAGTGCTTACAGCGGGGGGGCATGTATGCGAGAGCCGCCCACTCATGGTTTACTGATTGTTAACACAGTGTCAGGATCCAAAACAACCAAGTATGCATTGCCAGCCCC